AGCGCGCGAGAGACGAGCTGAATATAAACTAATGCGATTTCTCCTGTTTTACCTATAGTCGTGTTTCATTCCGTTCACCTTCCTCCCCGTATTTTCGACACTAGTGCCAGAATAGAAAGCTTTGCAACCGCATAAACAGAATCGCCCTTTAGCCAGGCGCGAACACGTTGTCAAGCAGATCCAGCAGTAGATGCTCGCATCGGGAGCACGGAGCATGAGAATCGTCTTTAAACACTGGCGAGCAACGACGTACCGCTTCCAGGCATCGTAAATACGCATATAATTGGGCTATGAGGTAATTTTTAACACAATGCGTTATCGCGCGGTGTTAAAACACTTTAAACGCGCTGATATTTATGGGGTTGGTCCGCACTCCCAAGCAAACTACGCGTGCGTTCTTAAGTAAACAGCTTTCATTGGTCGTTGACGCTGGATCACGTTTATACTGATCTGCTTGCATTGCTGCATTCAGTGAAATTTAATAAAAGGTAACAGGAAGAACAGCACGCACATAATCAAGTCGAAACGTCGGCAATTGTGCGCATATATTCCCAGCACTGGTGGCGGCTTGTGGCCCCCTTACGACTGGTGGTGCCGCTAGCGGGAGATTTTGTCCCTATATCAACCTTTGGGCGGAGTTTCGTGACCAGAAAGCATCGAAGGACTCTGCCAGTGCTGAACAAAACACTTCACCAACTGGCAACTCTCGGCCGCCAACAGCAACCTGAGTGGTGGGGCTCAATTAACGTGGTCCGAACCACAGTACCACAGGTGCCAAATCCACGGTGGCAGTAACGGCAGCGAAGGTGACAGTGGTGGCGCTGACTGGCCATGACGCAAGTGGGCACGGCAGCGATGATGGCTACATCAGATGCAGCAACGACAAGGGGGGGGGGGGGGGGCACCGGTGGCGTCCGCAGCAGAGAGAGCTAACCACAGTAGGGCACGGATTGGGACCCACCATCCTAGCCTTCCTCGATAATTAATAACAATTCTCTTGTTTCAGTCCCTATCAATCGGGGGGGCTTTTCTAAGGGGAAGAGCATGTGGGGCAGCACATGCGCTTATGGTTCTTTTCCCTTCTACGGCAGCACAGCACCTGATTTGCGAGGACATGTGTGTCTTTTCGAGAAACAAGACAATGAAGCCTCTTTCGAAGGGATCGGTCACCCCGTGACCAGTGCACGCTATTCCCCTTTTCCGGCTCTCGACACGGATTACTCTTTCTCAGCGAGGGAACCAACCCTCGTTGTGGGAGAGTAAATCGAGAGGTTGGTCAAAACGAGCGTGGTGACAGTGACAAGCTCTTAAGCTCTTTTGCGCCGGTCCACTAGACGGAGGGCAACTGCTGGATACCTCCTGCGAGCCAAAAAGGTCGACGACCAAAGGCGTAAGCGTCTGTCTTTGTTGTCCTCCTAGCCCCGCCGCAATGGTCTAGTGGCTAAGGTACTCGGCTGCTCACCCGCAGGTCACGGGATTGAATCCCGGCTGCGGCAGCTGCATTTCCGATGGAGGAGGAAATGTTGTAGCCAGTGTACTCAGATTTGGGTGCACATTAAAGAACCCCAGGTGGTCGAAACTTCCGGAGCCCTCCACCACGGCATCTCTCATAATCATATGGTGATTTTGGGACGTTAAACCCCACAAATCAAATTATTCATTTGTTGTCCTCCTAGAGCAGACAGTCGCCCTATGCAACATCTACGTCTTATTGTTGCTGACAGTGGCAATAAAGTGTTGTTTTGTTGTCCTGGCCTGGTGCCTTATTCGCCCGAACCTGTGTAGCTGCGAAGACTCGAGCTACAAGAAGAGGGTAATCTGTGGCCGACACGACTGTGTGCGGCTGAAACATTGACTAGGCTTCTGCGTCAGCGGTACAAGTGTCGCACTGCCTTCAGCCTAAATCACTTGTCAGGCTTCAGATTCCTGGATTATGAAGAAGTCTCTTGTATCATCTATTGGCTGAAAGCAACTTACACTCCTGCACATTGATACAATGTATGACGGTGTGGCCTATGTATATGCTGATAGATCTACCACTCCGTGTACTTCCGCCGCAGCCTTTGTCATCCCGCAGATGAAGATAGCTCGACGTTTTAAGATAGATCACAAGACCACATAAACTGCCATGGAACTTGTTGCTATTCAAGAGGCAATTGGTTTCATATCCACAGAGCTCACTCGTAGATAGACGATACTGTGCAATGCCAAAGCTGTGCTTCGAACTATCGATGGCTTTATGAAACAAGGCCCATATCATACTTTATTGATAGAAATTGCAGAGCTCCTTGGCATTACTACAGAAAAGGGACATCATGTGACTTTACAGTAGATACCTGCTCACTGTGGCATAATGGGCAACGAAGAGACGATGCTAAAGCTAAAAGAGCTCTAAATAATGCCATGGAAGTGTGAATTGCATTTTCTCGCCATGGCACTAACATCTTACTTCGATGGGTGATGTCCGTCTAAGATGTTACTTCTTACTTAAACGAAGTAACAGGTCCCGATTACCGACTGCATCTCGCATCTTAGAGCACTGGAATAAACCAGAAGACCAGCACAAGCCGCTGCACAACTGGGACTTGGAAATAAAGTTCTGTACGCCTCACAATTTAAAGCGAAGCATCTCATGCATTATCTACCGCATTTTGTCTCCGTGAGGCTTACACGAGATGTTACACCCACTTGATTGGCTGTAATGACACAAGTCCCAATTGCGGCCACTGTCAGTTGCCAGAATTGCTTGAACACATATTTTGTGACTGTCCAACATATGAAAATGAACGCCAGCAAGTGGTATCTTCGATTCAACGAAATATTGGTCGACCATTAACCGAAGAAGTTGTGTTAGGTCCTTGGCCTGACGCCAACAGCACAAATGCGGTGATAGGAGCCATCGTCGCATTCTTAGAAGCCAGTGGACTGAATGCACGTCTATAGCGTTATCCCGGTTTAACAAGATCATGTTTTCATTTACCATCATCATTACACTTTCACTCTCCAGTCATCCTTCCCCAGTTTAGAGTAGCAGGCCAGAGCAAACTGTAGCTCAGGCCAGTCTCCCTACTTTTCTGTAAATAAATTCTCTCTCTCTGTGGCCCTGACAAACCCTAAACAAAAAAGTATGCCACTGGCCTTTTTCCGCCACCTTCACTTTTTTTCTGCTTTATGAAATTTCTGAATCTCAAGGTCGTCTGCTTGTAATGTCCACTTAGCAGTGCCCGTCAAATGACTTTGACAGGTACAGCAAATACTGATGCTGACTTCCTCCTTGTTTGCACTGCGGGGTTGTTCAACACCTTTATCGAAATAGTAGTGCTCACTTGCACTATGCAAGTGTTAGCTGTTATTGAAAGGTTTGTAGGTGCTTTTTTCGTTTCTAAAAGTAGGCCCTCTTTGTTATATGGCTCCAAATTCATGATTTGGCACTAAACAGAGTTTTTTTTTTTGTCACCTGCTGCAGCTTGTATTTTTGTGCTCCATAAGCAACTTTTTGCTGCTCCCAAAATTGCTCCGAATTCTATTTTAGCTTTTGCACCCCTGCACATGACTGTTTATTTTTCCGTATCTAGCGTTCTTTGGCAAGTGGATTAAAAGTCTATGAATTTTTAAATAATTTTGTTTGGCCACATAAAAATCTATGTGACCAAACAAAAAGTGGGCTGTCCTGCATCGCTGTGATATATGTTCACACATGGCTGAGGTAAATCGTGATTCCCCATCTAACATGAGCGTCAGCCAGCAATCAAGATAGTGCACTACAGGGCCTTCTCATCGCCTTGTATTGATTCTGTTAATGGCACGGATGTAGAATGTGGTGTTTAATAGGCTCGTTAGACGTGTGCTTGACGCACATATGCCGCAAGTGGGCAGGTAATGATGCATGCAGTTACGTCTTATTGTAATGAAAAGAGCAAGAGACAGCGCCTGTATTCCAGGCTGGCGGTTCTTATTCTGCCCTTCAGCTTTCTCGTCTTTTCCTGATCCAATGCACATGTTCGCTCGAGTGCCAGTTTCGCTTTTCGTCCTCACATTACTTATATATAGGCCAGTCATATCCTCATAGAACATTCAATCTTTGACCAGCAAAAGTATAAACTTTGTGATTGACGATAGTTATAGCGCGAGGACAGAACGACGACACAGACAAGAAGGACACGAAGGACACGAGCGACACGAAGGACACGAGCGACACGAGCGACACGAAGGACATGAGCGCTCGTGTGCTTTGTGTCCTTCTTGTCTGTGTCATCGTTCTGTTCTCGCGCTATAGCTATCATCATGTCATACCAAGTAGCCCAAGCTGCCACTCTATTCATATGGTGGTTTTGGGACGTTAAACCCCACAAATCAAATCAAGCTGCCACTCTTCCTGTGATTGACTCAGTTTTGGCTGATATCAACAGTGTTGTTTTATAAGGCAGTGTGGCAACATTTATGGATAGCAGTCATTCCTTTTGAACATCAGCTGTTGGCAGATAGATAGTTTCAGGCATACTGCGAGATCATTGAAGAGCATAATCAAGTTTATGTTTAGCAAAGCATGTCATGGTAAAAATGTGCCAAACTTGGTTCTGTACTGTGTTCTCACAAATGATTGCTAAACAAGAAAATCACTCTCTGTAACACAGATAGTTAACTATCTTGACTTGGGATGATTCCCATCGCATGTGTGATTTAAGTGACATCTTTTAGTATAGATTTGTTAACATGCTATCTTAAAAACAGAAATATTTGAGAAGTATGAAAAATATGGGCATACTAAAGTGAGGCATAGAGGTCACCTATTTAGCTTTCATAATAATTGCTTTTGAACTTGAATGCAATGTAATAATGCTGTGTCTTATTGGCATTATTTTGAAGGGTACATCTATGTTGTGCTTTATTTGTGCCAGCTATTATTTATTCTCAGTTCCTGGGGAGAGGAAAAGGCTTCAGATTAAGTGGCATGATGTGCATCTGTATTACATAGGACATGACGAGATTTTCGTTCGCAGGCACTGTGGCTTCTGGAGCCTCGGGAGGTAACGCAAGCGCAGCACGATGAGTTTTACCGGTACATCTCTGGAGCCTTTGATGTGCCTCGCTTCACAGTGCACTTCAGCACTGATGTGCCCCTCTCCATTCGCTGTCTCCTGTACATACCCGAAGGCAAGCCTGGTCTCTTCGACATGAGCCGTGAGAACGATGGCGTGGCCCTCTACTCGCGCAAGGTAATTTATGCTTGTCGTCACTTCTTTATTTTACCTTAAAGGTGTACTGACACCATTTTCCGAAGCTTAGTTTACTCTTCCATACAAATCTCCAGCAAGTGTGATGCTCAACAAGTGCTGGTGCCACCGGGGTGGTGTACTGTGCTCAGCTGCTAATATGAAGGGTGTGTGTCTATTTCTTCTACTCATTTTCATTTCTTCTGTGGGAGTAGTTCATTTTATAACGAGGTGTCATGTGCTTTAAGGACGCCGCAAAGACAACACAACACTAGCAAAAGAAGTTGTCACCTTTTCCAAAATATACTGTAGGTAAATCATTATGTTAATGCTTATTACGATATCTGTAAGCCATTTCAAGAGTTACAACGCATTAATATAAACTTCAATTATACATATTTCTTATATCCCATTCTCAATATATTGAACTATTTTGCAATCTCCTTTAAGCTTGATATTCTGGGATCGACTGTATTAGCAACACTAGAAGCAGTGAGGTGATATGAAGTGCTGGTGCTCGCGAGGATGGTGCCCTGGACACTGCTACGTAAATCAACTTCAGTGGATGGCGCCTTCCTACAATTGACGTTAACCCGACGTGACTGCTGTATCATAGAAGTACGTATGTAATGTTAATGTTTATAAAATTGAATAGCCAGCACTGCAACCACAGTTGATGTTTCACGATCATTAGGGTCTATTTGAAAAGTAGTTCCGAGACCTGGCATGGCTCTGTGGCAGAATACTGGATTGCCACACAGAATGCTGGGGTTTCATTCCTGCTGGGACTCAGACATTTATTCTTTGCATTTATCAGGTCCATGCCTCCGAAGTCAACTTTTTCTTTATGCTCGCGTGTTAAAATTATCTATGCCTGTTCTCGCCGTCCATGCGAATACACATAAACTGTCAGTCACCTGTGGCATATAGCCGCATACCTGTGGCGCATATCTGCCTGCAGGCACGTTACAACACGTCTGGCGGAAAGGGTTTGACAACATATGCCACGGGACTGTGATATTTTCATGTCCAGCGAGTCATATTTATCAAACCATTTACCTTCCAATACTAATTTTGGTTTACCACAAGCAAAGGGGCTATCATGAGAGCACTTAGGCATACCTAGGTGGCCAGACTGACAGACATACATTCTCAAAGTGCCTGCATTATACGAGGAAATGTTTGTCATTTAAAATAAAAATTGGGGTATTAGCCAGAATGCAATCCAGACATTCTACCTGCCATACAGATGTTCAACCATGGAGCCGTGCCAGTGCTAGAAACTGCTTTGAAAAAAGACCTTATGTGGGCATCGTGTCAGGTGAAAAGTTGCGTTAAGACATGATATTGTGTAGCAGAAGCATAGAACTTTAGGCGTCACACCCTGTGATTTGTGCAAGTTATTTGAAGTCACCAACTTACAAAAGGCTCCGCTATAAAGCATCTTCAACAAAGTCTGCAGCAATGTAGATGACTAATTCTTATCACCTTATAGATGCATTGTGTGAGCTTCAGGACATCACAAAATAGTGAATTATGGCATAGTGGGTACTTCGTAACTTTGCTTGCAGTGCGTGCCCTAGAGGATTTGATAATGGGAAATGTCATGTGCACGCATATTCGTTTTCCTAGGAAACACTGGAGGTGTCCACTGAGAAGCAAAGCATGGCAAGTGAACGAGAAGGCAGTGCATAAAATTCTATTGCATTCCACTGTTAAATGCGAAACTTAAGCATTCTCCAAGCTTTTCACTTTTGCCTACACAGAAAAATTGTCATCAATTTATTAAAATGCATCTACAAACAGTTAGATGACAATTTCCGTCAATGCAAAAGTGAGGTACTTATTTCATGTGTTTGAAGTTTCATAGGAAACTCTCGAATTGCCATTGCAGCAGCAAAAACTCCTTTCAGTTAAATTTTAAGATCCTTTGGTGGTAAATAAACGTGGAACAAGATTTCTGCTTACTGTTTAGGTCCACTAAGTACAGATATTCGAAATCGAGAGCATTGAATATATGTGAAGTAACTGTTTGATAATATAGCGCATGCATTTTCAGGTGTACCTGTGCTTTGGCACAGCTAGTGGACGGTGTGAAAAAGGCTGCACAGCTTCTGAAAGAATGTTCTACTCGGAAATTTGCTTGGAAAAGCCCATGTTCTGGGCATGCACTAAGGTTAGATACATAAAAAAGTGGAGCAGTTAGTAGCTGGCTTCAAATAGTGGGATGACCAAGGTGAACAGTGGAAGTGCCTCAGACAGGCTGGCTGATGTTCCGATAGGTAGACATATCTTTGTCAAAGGCGCCTTGCCATTCTTGGCGTGTTTGTTTTAAGGGGGTTAGTACTGACATTCTTTCGTGTGGTGGCAGGTGTCCCTGTTGGTACTAATTGCCATCTGAAAAGAAAAAAAAAATCTAGAAAGCAGAAGAGTGGAGCCCTCACTTCATTTCAAGTTGCAATGATACAAAAGGTTCTCTTCTCAGAGGTAAGGAGAGAGGGGAAAAAACAGCAAAGTAGGAGCAGTGTGCTACAAAGTGGGAGCCGCTACAGGCACGATCGAAGGAAAGAGCATTGAACTTTGAAACTAGCAGACAGGCGCCACGTCCGGCTACCACAAAGGGTTGCCGACAATAGCCCCGTACGCCTATTCTCAAACACTTATAAATGAGAAGAATAACAAGAAAGCAATTTTGAAAGGGGGAAGAAGCAAGCGGTGTACTTTTGCCGTGCCAAGATGTCGACGGTAAGTGACGCTGGGTGGAGTGTCTGAAGAGCATATGTTTAATGAGGAAGGTCATTGGCGAAAATATGTTTCAAGCGTCACCGTAAGTAGCCTGCTCAGTGGGATCGCCTAAGTCATATAGTGGTAGATGTCATATAGTACTGCTTATCACTGAATGAATATGATGTGTACATCTTTATGTGGTCTCACTGGCCTATAAAGCATTGCTGGACAAGTACTTGCAAAGAGAGGCGTAACCGATGTATGAGTAATCCTCCAAAGTGTAGTTTTTTCTGAAACATCTAGGTACACTTGCAAAATTAATTCATGCTTTGTAATGAATACATTTTTTCAATGTTCTGCAGTTTAATCAGTGACTACTGTTGACACATAGTCTGTGAGTGGATAACATTTTTCATTGCTTTAGGTGCTCATCAAGCCAAAGGCTGAGATCCTCCCGAAGTGGCTGCGCTTTGTCAAGGGTATTGTTGAGAGCGAAGACATTCCCCTCAACCTGAGTCGAGAGATACTCCAGGACAGTGCACTCATACGCAAGATTCGCTCGGTTATTGTTAGCCGACTCATCAAGCATCTGGCACGCTGTGCTGAGAAGGAACTGGAGAAGTACAGCAGCTTTTACCGGGACTATGGTGTCTTCCTCAAAGAAGGAATCTTGGCCACTCATGAACAGGTGAGGTTGTCTTATGCCTAAAGAACCCTTGACACTGAAATTGAACCTTGAGTAGTCTGTGTTCTTTCGTTGTCCTGTATACATGTGCACTTCCAATGGATTATTAGTGGTGGGGGTTTGCTCTAAGATGACCACTGACACATGCTTTAAAAACAAATGAGAAAAGATGGCTGCACCACGTGACATTATCATTGGTATGATGTTGATCATGGCGTCCTGTAACATTCCACAAGTAAAACTAGTCTTGTCGACATCACAGAATATCTCTCTGCAGGACGTACACATACCACAGATGTCACCTGACATGGCTTTTCCTCAACCCATATGCTCTGTGGTCGGGCAGCTGGTTTTGTCTGCTCAAGCCTGGAATGCTTTTTGGGGCAAAGCTCCATAGAGCCTTGCCTTGTCGTCCGCGTCCGTCATGCTCTACAAAACCAAAGTTAAGCGCTTGCTCAACGAAAAAAGAAAACATTTGTGTAAAATACCGGCTTTATATTGCCACATTGAATATGCAGCACCAAGAGGACAACGAAGAGCTCGTGCAGCGAGAGAGAAAGACGAGGTTCTCATCCGATCAGTTTGCCAGTGTTCTGGTAGAATTAAAGTGAGTTGTCCTGTATTCAACTGTTGCTGTTTCTGCATTGTGACACTGGTGGAGGCGCTGGGTGCATGTTCGGAACGCCTGACAACAGCCCCGCATCTAGCCCAGAAAGACTTCCACGCATCGACACCCCCAATCACCGCAGCAGCCGCTGCCTTTTAGATCTCAGCCCGGAGTTCGGTCTATTGCCAGAAAGTGTGATTGTGCCAGAAAGCATGACCGCGCCTGGAAGCACTGGTCCCAACATGTCCAACCCAAGCACGACACAGGTGACTGTTTTGAACCCTCGACTTCCGGTTGACTTCCATGAAAACACATATGAGGACGCACATGACTGGCTCGAGGAATTTGAGCACACAGCAAATGTCAACGAGTAAAACGCCACACAGCAATCGGGCTACATGTATTTTCCGCTTCAAAACGGAGCCCGTACATTGTTTATTAATCGTGTGCGGTCGTCTTGGGACGAGTTTCGGCAGAAGCTTCTCGACACGTTCGCGAGCACCGAAATACAAGAAATCGCACGTCGTCTCCTCGAGTCATGGATTCAAAAACCAAATGAATCCGTTACGATGTTTGTTGAGGACATAGCGCGGCTGTTTCGTCGAGCAGATCCCAATATGCCCGAAGCCAAAAAGGTTAGCCACCTCATGCGGGGGCATTAAGGAGCAGCTGTTTGCTGGTCTCGTACGAAACCTGCCTACAAGTGTTGATGAATTCTCCTAGGATGCGACATCCATCGAACGTGCACTGCATCTACGCTACCGGTAGTATGACCACCCAACCCACAGTGCACCGATCAGCGTGGCAGCCACGACCACAGCAATGACACCCAACGAAGGTTCTTTGCGCCAACTGATACGAGAAGTCGTACAAGAAGAGGTCAAGAAGCTCGTCGCCAAACCGAATGACTGCGCGATTGCCTCAGTAACAGAAGTTGTGCGCCAGGAGATCAGGCAAGCGCTCTCGCTTCCTGAGCTGAAAACGAGCACCCCTAGGGCAAGCTATGCAGACATAGTCCGCCGACAACCACGGAACATGCCGACACCGCATCAGTACCACCAGCAACATCCGCCGACAGCGCCTTGGTACTACAGAGAAACTTGGACGCCGAGTCGGCCACCACTTCGCAAAACTAACATCTGGTGTGCCCCTGACCATAGGCCCCTGTGCTTTCATTGTGGGGAAGCAGGCCACATTGTTCGGTATTGTCCATATCACGTCGCAGGGTACCAAGGGTTTCCCACTATTCCCCGGCGCCATTTCACCGAAACGCCTGACGTCGACACGAGTGTCATGACCCCACGGGATGTTCCTCCTGTGTTGCGGTCGCGCTCACCCTCTCCTGGGCGTTATTCTCGATCCTCTAGACGGAGCACCACTGACATGCCAAGAGGGAGATCTCCTAGTCCACGCCGGGTGAAACTAAAAGCGGCGAACTCAGGGGGGAAGGTTGCGAATCGTTGTAGTGCTGAAAATCCCCCAATACTGCCGGGCGAAAAGACGCAAATTTTCAATGATTCGACGAAAGATGGGGTTGTTACTGCCGAAGTTGCAATTACGATTGACGGACATGACGTCATGGCATTGGTCGACACTGGTGCGGACTTCTCAATAATGAGTGAGAGTCTGGCAGACAAGCTCAAGAAGGTTAGAATAGAATGGACAGGACCGCAGATTAGAGGAGCTGGAGGGCAGCTACTCACACCTACCGGAAAGTGCACCGCAAGAATGAAGATAGAGGATGCATCCTTCGTTACAACTTTCGTTATTCTTTCCGAGTGTTGCAAACAGGCAATCTTAGGGATGGATTTCTTGCGTGAATATGGTGCCATCATCAATACACTGGACGGTGTACTGACCTTTTCAGCGGATTAAAGCGCAGCGCTACACCGAAAATCTCTGCAAGTCATTGACGTAGTGACTGTACCTCTGTTATCGTGCTGCCTTTTTTCGATTACCTGCAGCACGCAGCATACTGGAGAAGGAACCACTGAACAAGTATTGACGCTTCTACTCTCTCGCGGTGTTGCAATTGCGAGAAGTATCGTCAATGTTGTATGCGGTGAAGCGGAGGTTCTGTTGATGAATTTTACCAACGAGCGACGACACATTACACAAGGCACTACAGTTGCCTACTTCGATGCGATCACCGAAATCCGCGAGTGCTGTGTAGTACAACAAGACGCGCCACAATCCACGTCAACCCCACCACCTATTGACGTAAGCACGGATTTGTCACCAGCGCAGAGACAGCGTCTAGTAGATCTTCTTCACCAGTTCGAAGACTGTTCTTCATCGACCTCAAGGGTCAGTCGAACGCCACTAACGAAGCACCGGATAATAATGGAGGAGACGGCAAGGCCAGTACGACAGAACCCATACCTTGTAGCACCAAAAGAGCGTGAAGCAATCCAGGAACAAGTGAAGCTCGATGATGACGTCATCCAGCCATCAAGAAGCCCTTGGGCATCGCCGGTAGTGCTGGTTGAAAAGAAAGACGGAAGCTTGCGATTTTGTGTCGACTGCCGGAAGCTGAACCATGTGACAAAGACGTATACCCATTACCGCACATCGATGATTCACTCAACAGGCTGAGGTATGCACGCTACTTCTTGTCAATGGACCTCAAAAGTGGGTATTGGTAAATTGAGGTCGATGAGGGAGATAAAGAAGAAATGGCTTTTGTAACACCTGATGGGCTTTATGAAATTAAAGTCTAGCCCTTCAGATAGTGCTCAGCCCCCGCAACATTTCAGAGTCTAATGGATACCGTTCTGTCAGGCCTTAAGTGGCAGACATGTTTGGTCTATCTGGACGACTTCATTGTTTTTTCAAAAACATTTTAGGAACACCTGAGCCGGTTGCTATCGGTATTCAGAGCAATAAGGTCTGCCGGCCTGACACTAAAACCGGAGAAGTGCCATTTCGGTTTCAAGGAGCTCCAATGTTTAGGCCATATGGTGAGCCATGAAGGTGTTCGACCTGATCCCGATAAGATTGCGGCCGTCAGAAAATTTCCGGTGCCAACAGATAAGAAAGCAGTCAGGCATTTCCTTGGCCTATGAGCATACTACCGAAGGTTTATTGCCAATTTCTCACACATGGCCTCGTCGTTAACACGGCTCACAAGAGAAGACGTTTCATTCACATGGGGCGACGATCAACAAGTGGCATTTGACGATCTCCGACAACGCCTGCAGACACCGCCTGTGCTTGCTCACTTTGATGAGGATGCTCCTACCACGGTCTACACAGATGCCAGCAACGTTGGTTTAGGCGCTGTACTCGTCCAGTGGCAAGACTCGGTCGAGCGTGTGATCGCATATGCTAGTAGGACGCTTTCCCGCACTGAGTCCAACTACTCCACAACGGAAAAAGACTATCTTGCTGTCGTATAAACGGTTATGAAGTTTCTTCCGTACTTCTGCGGTCGTTCCTTCCACGTAGTCAGCGACCATCATTCCCTCTGCTGGCTGACCAACTTGAAAGATCCGTCTGGTCGGCTCGCACGGTGGAGCTTACGCCTTCAAGAGTTTGATATGATGGTCGTGTATAAGTCTGAATGGCAGCACGCCGACGCCGATTGCTTATCAAGGTCACTGATAAAGCGGAACGATGACACAGAAGACGACAACATGGCGTTTGTAGGAGTCGTTGACACCACTACGATTTCGTGCAAGCAAAAGGAAGACAGCGAATTGCTTCCCCTTATAGAATTTTTGAATGGCCGGACAACAACCGCTTTAGAAAATTTGCAAGGAGCCTGCCGTCATTCTGCCTACGTAGTGGTGTTCTCTATAAGAAGAACTTTTCTCCCAGAGGAAGCACCCACCTACTTGTCGTTCCGATGTCAATTCGTGAGGAGATACTTAGTGCTTGCCACGATGAGCCAACGTCCGGTCATCTCGGATACACACGCACATTGGCCAGAATCCAACAGAAATACTACTGGCCAAGACTTCCAGCTATTGTGAAACATTACGTGCGCACGTGCCTCGATTGCCAACGACGAAAATTGCCACCGTTAAAACCAGCTGGACTATTACAACCAATTCAAGTGCCCATGGTACCTTTTGCCCGAATTGGAATGGATCTCCTCGGACCATATCCGACTTTCCATGCTGGCAATAAGTGAGTAATACAGTCGAGCCCGCTTGTAACGAACCTGAGCGTGACGCAGCATTTGTTCGCTGTATCCCGAAGTTCGTAGTAAATGAAACACAGCTTTTAAAAAAAGTTGCCCGTGAAAACACAAACTTTTTATGTCCCCAAAAGTCCGTGATGCACATGTTTCGAATAGCAGAAGCGATAAGGGCGGTCTCGAGTTCATTTGAAACGGCAGGGTGCTCGTTTGCCGAGGCCTGTGGCATAAGCTGCATGAAGCACTGACTCCAAA